CTCTCATACAAATTGACCCGCCCTAATGCATACATAATTGTGTATATGTAAATCTACCAAAATTTTTAAAGCTATTAAAAAAAAAAAATTCTCCGCACACTGGTTGTGTTCCAGCAGCAGTACGAATTGCACGTTTCGCATACTCGATACTTTTCGTTCGATCCCACGTAATTTTGGTATCGATACTTTTGAGCCAAGTACTGAGTAGGTATTAAGGCATCCAATCCCGGACCATTTTGTGAATCCCGGGATATCGGGATCTTAGATTGGTAATCCCGGGATCCCGGGATATTTCGGGATATTATTACCATTAATTAAAATATGCTAACAAACTGGTTTTGTAGTCTTGCGTTAATGCGAATAAAATAAAAATAAATTTGCGGTTTTAAGCAAAGAAATATAAATATCTCTTTTTATATCAGTTTAAAAAGCTAGTTACAAACTTAATAAACTAAAAACTATGGAATTGAAATTCATTCATATTGCAGTCGCAGTAATTTTTACGAAAAGTAAAAAATAAGAGTGTTTTTACATATACACATACGTTTAGTAATATTAGTATGCCACAACATATGTATATATACTCATGTACATATACAAGTCAGACGGATTTCGTAAAAACAAAAACTGATGTGATGTCTCGCTTAAAATTTTTTATGGGTTCTATGCATGAAATAAGCTAACACGTATTCCAGGAATTTCTTTTTTCTTTTTTTCTTCGGAGATATGATCTGCCAAAGTTCGAGTTTTTTCGTGATTCTGACCATTCACGCACTTCTTCAAATCGGTGTATCTCGGGCTCTACTCATCGCAGAAACTTCGTCTTCTGGTTACGACTGTCGTAAAATTAATTTAAAGCGCAGTTACCCACGGACGTAAAAACGGAGAACGTGTCAGCTGACACGATCTATCTTATGACATCTGCGTGTTAACAAAAACTCACCACCGCATGACCGTGACGTAGACGTAGCATCTCTCTCTTTCTATCAACAGCAAACTTGGTATGTTTCTACGTACTTCTACGCTACGCTACGTACACGTTCGTGGGTAACCGCGCTCTAAGCTGTTAACAGTTGAACTTTTTTAAGGGCCGGTTACTCAATGTCTGGTTAACACTAATCTGCGGTTAAACATGATTATCGACGTCTTCGACTCCATGCATACAACAGGGAGTCGGTAACGTCGATAACTATGTTTAGCCGGAGATTAGTGTTAACCAGACATTGAGTAACCGGCCCTAAGTTGATTAATATCAAAGAACGTAGATAACCAGCAGGGACAACTCGTTATAATTGTAGCGAAAGTGCGCAACAGGGGCGTGCCTTCTCTTTTGCCCTAGCGCGTTTTTTGATTGGATGAAAAGAGAAGGCACGCCCCTGTTGCGCACTTTCGCCACAATTATAGCGAGTTGTCCATGGGCGTAGCCAGGTAGGGGCAAGGGGGTGCTCGAGCCCCCCCCCNAAAGTGCGCAACAGGGGCGTGCCTTCTCTTTTGCCCTAGCGCGTTTTTTGATTGGATGAAAAGAGAAGGCACGCCCCTGTTGCGCACTTTCGCCACAATTATAGCGAGTTGTCCATGGGCGTAGCCAGGTAGGGGCAAGGGGGTGCTCGAGCCCCCCCCCCTAACTTTCAAAATTTCCTTATATATATATAAAATAGTACCCTGAAATGCTAGCTTAATAGGGTCGAGCCCCCCCTAAATTTCATTCTGGCTACGCCGATGGAGTTGTCCCTTCTTGTTATCTACATTCTTCGTTAATATAGTAAAGACCAGTTAATTTTGGATTTAAAATTACACCATCGTAGTCCTTGTTTAATTCTCTTTAAAAAACATCTTTCAAAAATATGAGAGTTTTTGAAGAGCTATTTTTTAAATATTTTTTTTTATGACGAGGTGGTTTATTTTGTGAGGGTCAACAATGAAGTCTCTACGATGAAGAGAACCCGAGGTATAAGAATTTGAAGAAGTACTTGATTTATTAGTCAGAATCTCCAAAATTTTAAAGATCAAATATCCGAAGAAAAAAGGAAAAATGTGAGGTCAATCGAAATTGTGACACCAAATTTGGTGTCCGATATGAAAATGTATGCCTCATATATATGTTATATATGTATATTATAACATAGAATAAAAGTAGTGTTAGAATTGTAATATATTACTTGATTATTTGTAGGGTAGCATTTTATAGTACTTTTATGTCATTACAGTGTGTGAATGTCGTTTTTTTAATTTGGTCGTAAATTAAATTATATCCCGGGATTCCGAGGGCTTGATCCCGGGATTTTGGGACTAAAAAGGGGCTCGAGACTCCCGGTATTCGGTATCCTGAATCCCGGTACTAGATGCCTTAGTAGGTATCGAAAAAATATACTCAAATCGAGTACCGATGCTAAGGCTGCGGATTCAGTAAGAGCGATTTTTAATAGCGTGATTTTTTTACAGTGAAGTGCCTACATGTGGTATGTTGTGGTTTCGGTAAGCTACTTAACCATGAACCAACGACTACAGATCACGCAATCCGACATCGTTGTATTTGTAATCGAATTTCAGAAAAAAATTTTCGTTACATTTTTGATGCTTTTCCGATTTGTTTACATCGTCTTCTATCGCTTCGGGATGGCTTTTTGTAGCAATTTGTTGTGTTTTATGAGCGATTTTAATTTTGATTTATTACAAATTTATGATATAAAATGGAGTGATTTGTGATTGGAACAAGTTTGTGCGTTTGTTTGGTCTGCTAAAAGGCCCAAATTTTCGTGAAAAGTCGTACACCTACTTTGTGGGCAGAACGTTGGCATTGAAAAATCGACCCGTGCTGATGATATGCGATTGTAAAATACTTTCAATACTTTTTTTGCTAATTGTCATCAAGTTTCAAAGTAAAAGTAACCACACACTTGTGCGATTCTGTCAACGCGAATCTGTACTGACGAAAAGCCGCACTCTTAAACTATGTTTACATATCAATATTATCACTAACAAAGCTCGTTTTTTAATCACCCTGTTTACACAGGCAAATCTCAGATTATTAGCCGTCAAATTTGTTGTGCTTGTTATTCTCACATCTCAAGGAAAAGTTATGTTTCTTCTCTGTGCCACCGTGATCACATTTTTCTGCTATATTAAGCAATATAAATATATTTTAACTTAACATTTTATTAAAAAAAAGTACCTTTAAAACCCTCTTTTCCTTGCTAGCGTCCATTTTTGTTTACATTTACATTTGGCATTTCTCCTCTTTTTTGCAAAAACAATCGATAAAACTAGGATGGACTCCGAAAAGTTATCGGTTTAATCTGAGATTATTTTATAATTACAGATTAACAAGGGACGAATTTTATATGGCTAATCTCTTGTTATAATTACAAATTAGCGTGTTGAGCTCGAAAATGAGGATAATCTACTTATATGTAAACCTAGTATTAAGCTCGAAAATGAGGATAATCTACTTATATGTGAACCTAGTATTAAAGCAATAACAATGCTTTACTACTTGTTAACACAATTAAACTTATAGCTTGCTTATTCGCAACTCACTTCTCTGCTCACTTTACTTGTAGCTTGCTGACTTGCAACTCGTAACTAACTCAACTCCGCTGTGTCGTGGCTGTTATATACCTGCGCTCGCACTCATGGCAACTCTCGAACGTTCTGAAGTTCATCGCTCATTCTCTTTCTCTCGCTTTTCGCAGTGTTCATCTAACTGCCGTTTCTCTTTGTGGAACATTCTACGTCATTCCTCGAACATTCTGCCTATTTCTCGTTGTTCTCCGGCGGTCGCTATGGTGTAGTGGAAAGCAGTGCGCGCTTCCACTCCGCAGGGCCTGGATTCAAGCCCTGGTCAAAGCAACATCGCAAAAAATTTAGAAAAGAGTTTTTTCTTAACAGCGGTCGCCCCTCGGTAGGCAATGGCAAACCTCCGAGTGTACTTCTGCCATGAAAAACAGTTTCTCATAAAAATGAAATCACAGTTCGGAGTCGGGGTAAAACTGTAGATCCCTCCCCTTTGTGTGACAACATCAAGGCGCACGCCACATATCGAAGGAGAAGCTCGGCCAAACACTAACATATGTGTAAGCGCCAATCTATTATTATTATGTTATTATTGAAGTAAAAAATTGCAGCGAGAGCGTAAAGGCCAAATAGAGCGTGAAATTGAGATGAAGAGAAAACTAGTAGAAAAAGTTATTGAACACAAAACTGGTAGAAACTTGCAAGTGAACAGTTCTTGCACTGTTTTGACTATCTGCTGTAAACATTTTACTATTTATAAATCAGTTTTAAACTATTTGCTTCACACACAAGCACTTACACAGTCCAGTACATCATTAAAATTTCCTTTTCCACTCGTTTTGCTTTTGTTTACGCTTAACCAATGCAACAAATGGCAGCTTTTGACCTTGATTCTTCTTCTGATAGCTAATATCTGCTAGTAAAAATTTAACTAGCAAGAATTTGCAGCTCTCCCGTGTTATTACGCTCTCGATTCAGTGCTCTCGCAAATTTTTTGGATTATTACACACTTTTCCAGTAAAAATTTGCAGGTTCCACTACAAATTAGTACTGACTATTTGTTACTATACACATCAATTGATTACTAATTCTTTGGTTATAAAAGGAAATTGAAAAAATCATTATGATTACCGAACCCATGCAATCGTTATCATTATTAAACGTTATGTAAACATAACACCTTTTAGTGCCGGTTCTTCAATGTATGATTAGCACTAATCGGAGGTAGAAGCTCCGGTTAAATACAACGACTGCTTTATCGATCACATGTTATATGCATGATGTCGAAAACGTCGATAATGATGTTTAACCGGCAAGTAGTGATAACCAGACATTGAGCAACCGCCCTTATAGTGATACAGAATTACTCTAAGGAAATATTGAGCGTGTGTCAGGTGCCTATTGGTCTAAACAGATTGTAATGGCGAGCCATGCATCTTTCCTGAAACTACTAATGCAACCATGCAAGGACGCCGTTTATTCAGCATTTTCCTGTAGTTTTGGTTGTAGCTGTCACTTTTGACAAACTCTAGAAACGCATACACTGTCATTTTTATGTCGACGGAAGGAATAAGCGGTAAAATTAAGAAGCTGTGGTCTTAAACGTATTAATCCGCGTGTTTAATTAAACAAAACTTCTAAAAATTTGGGTTCGATTTTTCCCGATAATAATTTCATTCGAATATCTAATATAAAATCTATTTATCTTTTAGAAGCTGTAGTACTACCATACACATCAGCTTTTGAGTCAGTCATCGAGGAGGAATCGAGCGAGTTCGTGTGTGGAAAATAGACCCAAGTGAAAGGCGAGAAGTTGTACTGATTTTTTTTTTTAGCTAAGAGTGAAGAGAAGGTCTACAGCAGTATGTCTGGAATAGCAATTACACGATTGGGTGAAGAGCGAAAAGCTTGGCGTAAAGATCATCCATTCGGATTTGTAGCTCGTCCAGCAAAAAACCCAGATGGCACTTTGAATCTTATGATCTGGGAATGCGCTATTCCTGGTAAGAAAGGTACTGCTTGGGAAGGTGGGTTGTACAAATTGCGCATGATCTTTAAAGACGATTATCCGACATCACCACCAAAGTGTAAATTCGAACCACCATTGTTTCACCCCAACGTGTATCCGTCTGGGACGGTTTGTTTGTCGCTATTGGATGAAGAAAAAGATTGGCGTCCCGCCATCACAATTAAACAGATATTGCTTGGAATTCAAGATTTGCTTAATGAACCGAACATTAAAGATCCAGCGCAGGCGGAGGCATATACAATCTATTGTCAAAATCGTTTAGAATACGAGAAACGTGTGCGCGCCCAGGCACGTGCTATGGCTGCCACTGAATAAGAAACGATTAAAGGCATTTCGCACGTATATACATATATTAGCAGTTAGAAGACGAGAAATGAGAGTAAAACAGAAAAGCGTACCTTGGCAACTGGATCAAAGGGGCGCGTGCCTATATAACGGTTAGACGAGGACGGTGATTTGGGATTATTTTCAGAAATGTTCTTATTATAATGATGTCCTTTAATTGGGGGACGAGCTATTTCAAATTACCATACTTGTCTAAAATGTCCTAGATTTAAATGAAAATTCTGTATTTACATATGTATTAAAAACCAGAAGAAAAATTAAAATAAATGTAAAGATGTCGAATTTGTAAACTGGTCTACATCTCAACGTAACTGTGCTTATGTTTTTATATATGATTAATCTGCATTTGGTATTAATTAACGTACGTAACGTCTTATTTCATTGCGAAGCAAATGAAGCAAAGATCTATGTTTTTATAAATAAGCGTATCGCTTTTCCATGGTATTGTGCATACCGATTTCTCGTACAATAAGCGACTGAATAGTTTTTATCTATCATTTTTCTACAACTGTTTGTTTGTAGAAGGATGAGCGACTATTAACTATTCACACGCACTTATTGAACGAGAAAACGACTTTGAAGATACCACGGATAATGGAAAATCGACTAACAGTCGTTTATCTACTACAAGTCGACACTCGCAATAGGGGTGTATACCTCTGGTTTAACAAATTTTTTAAATGGTTAAGTAGACATCCGAACATTCCATTCATTTATGTATGTAACTTAGCGAGGTTATACGATCCCGACAAGCATTTCTGTAAGTGTTTTAAAAGTAACTTGAAGTATGCTTGCTATATTAGGTGAAATCCCGTATTCGTCGGACTCGGACTAGTAAAAAATTAAGCATATGTGTTGTATATACATATGTATATATAATTTTGGGGTTTAGTAACTTAAGTAATACTGATAAAAAATATCATTCATCTCTTATAAAAGTGACATAAGTTTTGACTATTCATATAACTTACAAGAATTGGATAAGCCTTTAAGCTCTATATCTCTGTTTTTTTTATGCATTTGCGAAAAATACGAAATATACTTCTAGTATATCCACACGTTGAACAATTAATTATTATTTATTTATTTTTAATTTTTGTTTATATATATATACATGTACATATATATATTTTTAATTAAATTTCAATATTTGCTTCTTTAATATAAGAGATCAACTCCTCGTATATCTTAATATCTCGGGATTTTAATAGTCCTCGGATGTCATTATATAAATTTGAAAAATTGTATTTCGCTCTAATATTAATAAAACGATTGCAAGAGAAGATTAAGTGACTGACAGTTTCCTGTATTCCACACGTTGTACATATGTCTGTTGGAATAATTTTCATTTTGCAAAAACAGGGTTTGTCATATGCATGTCCCGACAAAAGTCGATTTAGCAGCTTGATATCAGATGAAGACAAATTAACCTTACGAAATCAAGGCTTAGGAAGTAGTTGTGGAAAGATATCATGAAAAAACACACCCTTAGTCTGTGATATTTCTTCATACCTCTCTCCCCAGTAGCTCCAGAGCTCTCTAGTGATAAGCCTTACAGCCTCACCCGGTGTATACTGCGGCAAGACAACAAAACCATTTACAATCGCCTGTTTAGCAGCCTGATCAGCTCTTCCATTCAAACTAAAACCCACATGCCCTGGGACCCATACTAGGTCACGAGACTGCATTTCCGAAGTCTCAACTAAATTAATTATTTACTTACTATATAGTTGTCAGTAAAGTTTTTTTTATTACTATTAATGCCGATTTGCTATCAGTAAAGAAATTTTAAGTAAATCATTAAAGAGCTTATGCATACTCACGTAAGTGACTAATCTTTGATTAATCTTAAGTTTAATAGTATAATTCCCCGATGCATTTAAAAACCTATGCCCGTAGACTCATTTGATACGGACCCACCGTCGCAAAAATCATACAATTAGCAGACCTATACGTTTCATGAATTTCCGCATAAGATTTCACCTGCCTGATAGCCTTATTTTGAACACATATGTTTATTCTCTTTGGGGAACCTTTGGCAAAATAAATACATTGAGTTTTTTCAATATTAAAGGATAGATTCAAGTCTAGACACCTGGAAAAGAATTCATTTGTTTTACTTGCCAAATTATTCTTAGCTTCATCAAAGGTCTTCGCATACGAGAGGATTAGAAAATCATCCGCGTATTGAAAAATAGCTGTATTTCCATCTTCCAGGTCATGTAAGGATTTAGTATAGATATTAAAAATTAGGGGACTCAGGGCACTGCCTTGTGGAATTCCGCCATTCAATAGATTCATTACCCAAACGTAATATTCTTTTGGAAAAAAAAATTTAAGATCCATGTCAAGAGGTTGTTGTTGTTGTTGTAGCGGCACTACTAAGCCCCGCCTGTTTCGGGTCAACTTTTAATCATTATCGTCAAGCTCAACTAACGGTAGGCCCAGGAAACGAGCTGTTTCGATGGGGTCGGACCAAAGGGAGTGAGGTGTTAGTTGAGTCGGATTGAGCTGGCATGTGAAGAGGTGGTTGGTGTCGTGGGGGGAGTCTCCACATGCCGGGCACTCATTTGGGATGTTTGGGTCGAGTCTGGACAGGTAGCTGTTTAGGCGGCTACAATATCCAGACCGTAACTGAGCCAGGGTAACGCGGGTCTCTCTAGGTAACTGAAGCTCCGTCTCTTCCACAGGTGGTGATTGGGCTCCGATAACGACATTCCTAGGCCGGGAGTCGAGGTAGGTGGAGACAGACTCCCTATGAATGTCGTTAATCGCTCGTCTGTACGTCATTGGGTCCAGTGGTTGGTCTGTGTAGGTCTGGACTGCGTCCTTGTACATGAATAGGTGCCCCCTGACGTGCCTGGGCGGAGGCTCCTCCTCCAGCAGTGGTCTGTTGGGGTGTTCACTTCTGTGACACCCCACAAGAAACTGCTTACAGAGCATCTTGTTGTGTTCCCTTACGGGGAGCACTTGGGCCTCACTGTGTAGGTGATGCTCAGGCGTCATCAGAAGGCACCCAGTCGCTGTCCGGAGTGCGGCGTTCTGACAAGTCTGTAGCTTCGTCCACTGCGTCCAACTAGTCCCCGGCGTCCAAACTGGCGTAGCAAATACCCGGCGAGCTTCGCTGCGCCTTAAAAGTATTTTTGTGTTTCTAATCCCATGTTACGAAGCACGTTGGGTATTTGGTAATTTATTTGAATAGTGATCCTATGTCAATTTTGAGCACACTTAGTATGTTGGTGGTAATAGGTGCGTTCGTTTAAAATCTCCAACAGAAACCAACAACTGCCAAATTCCGGCGAAATGCATCTGTTCTCTCACAAGAGAGAAATATCCAAAATAGTACGCGAACAGAAAATTTGCAGAAACTTGCAAGTTAGACGAACAGCTGATATAATTTTTGTTTACATTCAAAAGTGTAAAATTTAAAACGTACGAAAACTCATTACAAGTGGTATCCTGGCACAGTTTATTGATTAAACAAATAACTACTTACTTCTTACAAGTTTAATTAGTCGCATTTTGTAATTTTTAACTTCCAAACCATCAAATTCAATTTTGTGATTTGCGTAAATGCCCACCAGCTGTTTTTGATCAGCTGTTTTCCTGTTGGCAAATTGCTGTTGGCAAAAATTTTTCCAGCAGAAACCAGCAGCTTCCCCTCAAAATGAAATGTCACTTTGCTCTCTCAATTTCCCCTACTTTGCAAGTTTTTTGCGTACGCGAACGCAAAAACTTGTAAGTTTTGGTTAAACATGAACAATTAACAGCTACGCGAACGAACCTAATATTTAGGTGATAACTTTGCCAAATTGGCTTATTGACATACTTACTTCTGTCCGCGAATTCGTCTGAGAGGACCAGGGAGAAATGAAAGAATGTATATTTTTTTTATGTTTGAACGTATTGAAATGTATTCACAAACTTTTTTATGAACATATTTTATTTTAATATATCCCTATATACTACATTGTAGGACTTGTTATTCTCCGCCAATACGTATAAATTTTGAGCGCTCGAGACTCTTGAGCATCCAACATAAAGTTGACCATGTGCAAAGCAAGGAGTGCCCAAATGAAGTCCTGCCACTTTCAATGTTTGACCCTGGGATTTATTAATAGTCATTGTGAATGCTAACTTTAAGGGAAATTGCAGCCTCTTAAATTCAAATGGCAAATTATTTGGGATAATTGGAATTCGAGGAATTAACACGCTGTCTCCTTTAGCTGCTCCGGTGAGAATAGTTGCCTTAATGACATTTCTCCCCGTCTCTGTAACACATAGCCGGGTGCCATTGCACAATCTCGGTGCATCTAGGTTACGCATCAGCAAAACTGGAACTCCAATCTTTAGCTCGAGTTTATGGGAAGGCACGCCTGTTAATTCCAATGTATTAAGAAATTCTACAGGGTAAGATGTACTGTCATCACTGCTCATCACCGTATCTATTGATGTGTAGATTTTCGATTCTTCAACTAACCCTTCCATTATTTTTTTGTTAATATTATGGACAGACTCATTTTTTGGCGAAAGCACTGCCCTCTCGCATAACCAATCGTGNGGCAATGTCTGCCTAAAATCACCAGCGAGCAAGACCACAACTCCTCCCATCAAAGCCTGGTTGCTACGGATATCTTGCAGGCTCCGGTTTAATGCCTCTACAGCACGCTTATGCGACATAGTGCACTCGTCCCACACAATTAACTTGCACTGTTGCNATTAAATTCAATTTTACCATCTATGTTCGTTTGTAGTACACCCTCTCCGATTTGAAGCAGCTTAGATGCATATTCACCACATTCCAAATCATTGAAAAGTTGAACTCGCATATTGCACGTAAGGTAAAGCTTTTCCACCTTGGACCACAGTGCCGACGCCTTCAAACATGCATTCATCTCATCTGCCGGTGTACCCCTCACAATANAGATTCCCGGTTCACCACTATTAACACGCTGTATAATTAAATTGTAAACATGCTCTTGCTCGGGAAGCAAATGTGGTGTCATTTCATTAACAAAAGTGTCTAAGGCTACGGTATCATAATTGAGTTCTCTTATAACATCGCTTGACAATTCTCCCCTTCGTTGTGGTGTAGGCAAACCAAAATCTACCATATTTTTTCCGCATAAGTTATTTATTTTATCCTCTATTAATTTCAGCGCCTCATTAGTTATCAATTCTGCGTGCGTCCCTTGTAGCGTATGTGCGATATCCTCTGACAGTGCGTCCTTGTATTTTTCCCACAGCTGAATAGGGTTGGAGACTCCGCAAGTACTCACTAAAATTGCAAATAGCTCTCTGAGTTTGGCGG